CGCTGGCATCCGCAGAGACTACATTCTTGTCTAAAATTACTTCACTAGTCAGAGATGGGGTTGAGACTGGAGTGCCAACCTGTACGTTTGGGTTTCAAAGCATTTGTCCAATCCGGCCTTTCTAGAGTAAGCCAGACAAGTGGTGGTAGTGTCTCATCTCAGGTTAGATCCAGACATGGAGAAGACAGATCTTCCCGTGACTTTCCGGAGCCTCTTTCTCCCACACAGTGGCAGGCCATCTCCCTGACTGTCATCGAGAAGGTCCAGATTGCCGCCATAGTTCTGGGCTCTCTGTTCCTCGTCGCCAGCATCTCCTGGCTCATCTGGTCCTCGCTCAGCCCTTCAGCCAAGTGGCAACGCCAGGACCTGCTCTTCCAGATCTGCTACGGCATGTACGGCTTCATGGACGTCGTCTGCATAGGTAAGGGCTCGGGTCTCCCCCTGCCTGCTTAGCAGCCCCCTTGCCTCACTCTCCTGACTTCTTGCCCATCCGCTTCAGTCCCACCATCACAGGCTGTTAGGGCTACCCCCGGGCCCCGTCCTCTGTAGCTGTCTCCTTCGTCCGCAGAAAGGGATGCTCAAGGGCCCACGGGTGGGCAGCAGCTCACCCTGGTCTCCTCATTCCTCTTGCCCAGGCCTCATTGTTCACGAAGGCTCCTCTGTCTACCGCATCTTCAAGCGATGGCAGGCAGTGAACCAGCAGTGGAAGGTCCTGAATTACGACAAGACCAAGGATATAGGAGGAGATGCAGGGGGAGGGACAGCAGGGAAGCCAGGCCCCAGGACCTCAAGGACCAGCCCCCCTGCCGGGGCCCCCAGCCGGCCCCCAGCTGCCCAGCGCATGCGGACGCTCTTGCCTCAGCGCTGTGGTTACACAATCCTGCATCTCCTTGGACAGCTACGGCCACCAGATGCCCGGTCCAGCTCGCATTCAGGTCGTGAGGTTGTGATGAGGGTCACCACAGTTTGACCTGGACTCCAGGGCCAGGGATCTAAAGCCAGAGTGGCAGCCAGAGGCGAGCTCTCCTGGTTGCTGGAGGTACGGCCTAGACAAGGTGTCTGGGGCACAGTGGCCCCACCACAGCCTCAAGCTTGGAGACATTGTCTAGCCTCCACTGCCCACGGGGTAGAGATGCCTGGATGACATTCCCACCCACCGACACCGCCTCACACTCATCTTGAGGATGGCCAGCAGGCAGGCGGGGAGAACAGCTTTTCTTCCTGGAGAGAACCATCTTTACCTCAGCTCTAGGGCCTCCAGTCCCCTGGCTCCATCCACCATGGTGACTTGGTAAAGGGAGACCAATGCCAGAAAAACAAAAAGGGGGTGTAGACCCCCCCATCCCCCACCCCATGGCCACAGGGCATCTGGCAATAAGACTCTTAAACATTGACCTCCCTCCCGTTCCCTGCATGAGGGCGGGGCTTCCCCCTGCCCCACCCCCATTGCATGGGGGAAGGGCATAAAGAATCATTTATATGCACGCGGAGAGACTCCTTTCTCATCTGGGGCTTTTCCGAAGGCTGAAGGGTTAGCCCAGGGCACGGGGAGGTTCCTCAGCAAGCTGTGTTTGGAGTTGGAGGAGGGGCTCCCGCTTGCTGGTGGACAATTCGCTTTGGCTGCTAGGTGGCGGTGCTCAGAGGTAGCAGAGGACGGTGGACTGGCCACCTGTGAGTTACGAGTTACGTGATTTAGGAAAAAAGAAATCTGAGCTCCCCCGCCCCCACCCGCCCCCGTCTACCTCATAGAATTGGAATGAGGATAAATGATGGACAGGCTCAATGCTACTGCAAAGAGGATTGATGATGGTCTAGAAGGAGCTCCGGACTAGTTGCAGGTTCACTTATTTCAAGCATAGGTGGGGTACAGCAAATCCCAAAATCTGTTCTTTTTGTTTGGTCTTTGGTCAGATGTGGCGCAGGCGCAGAACTTGAGTGACAAGATGGATGCGGAAAGAAAGGGGAAATGCACACTGACTGTGCGGGTGGCCATGACAGGAGCCAGGACACGTGGCCCTCCCAACACGGGACGTGGGGGGGCGCTGGGGCCACTCAGCCTGTCCTGAGAACACCTGTGCTGCTCTATCAGTCCTTTCCAGGGACTGTGTCCCCCCACCCCAGAGATGGACACGGTCTCATTTAGAACAACAAGGGAAGGAACCTCTTCCCTGAGTGTTAAGTCTTTAATCCCAACCGAAACCGTGGCTGTTGAGGGTCACACTTGGTCCAGGCGTGCCCAGCTAGTGAGTGGTATTACTGGAAGGTAGAGGCATAGGAGAGCTGTTGTTTTACTAGAGAAACGATTTAGGAAATGTGGGTCCGAGGGCTGGGGGTGTGGGTCAGTGGGAGAGTGCTTGCCTGGTGTGCATGAGGTCCTGGGTTTAACTCCCATACCACCAAAAGTTATGTGGGCCAGCTTGAAGCTTGGTCCCTTTCTCCTGACGCCTGGGGGCTGGGTATTATGTGAATGATGGTGTCTATTAAGTGAACCATTCATGAGCAATTAAAAAATTCCTTCATACGTTGCTAAAGTCAGATCTGGAGGCATTTCTTATTATTGGTCCTCTAATAGAAGTTTCTCCCCTGCCTCCTCATGGAAAAGCTTGGAAAACAATGCTTGTCTCCTAACAGCCCACCTACCCTGAAGCACAAGAAACCTTGCCCCATGCCCCTCCAAAAGAATGGGGGGGGGGGTGTCCTTTGGCTGCTGTCCATGGTGCTGGCATCGGTTTGGCTTGTGGGTGTAGGAACCATAGCTCAGTGAAGAGGGACCCGATGCAGAGCTGTCCAGCTCACCAGTAGGAAATTTTACCAGAGACACAGGTCTCTACTTCCTCCCACCAGGGGACAGAAGGGTCAGGCTTGATTGATTTGTTATTGACAGGGGAACAGAAACCAGTGATTGCTAATGTCTGTGCTGGCAGAAGGAATTCGGGTAGATAAGACACACATGGGACTTCTGGGCCAAGCCTAGGATGTTCCTTATGGTGGCTCATCATGGAAGGTTGGGCATACTGAAGAACACACACACACACACACACACACACACACACACACACACACTTTGAGTCCCCAAGGGCCACTTTCCCCTCCAGCACCACTGGAGCTCTTGGGATGGGACCTGTGTGCAGCTATCAACATAATGTCTTGCCTGTTTCTGAGCTTGCACAGACTCTTCAGAGTGGCACTTTTGCGTAGTCTGGGCAGCACAGGAGGGTCCATACTTTATTGACTCCAGGGAAACAGGTCTGGACGCTTAGGCTGTTCTCCCCCTTCCCGCTCAGGTCTGCTAAAACTCAGGTTTCTTATGTTCGAGATGAACTTGGTGGTGGGTGAGTAGAAGCTGATACTTCGTGTACAGGAGAGACGAGAGAGGAGTAAGGAATGTACAAAAACCTTGGTGTCTGCACAAGGCTTCCAGGCATGCCTGCTTCTCTAGGTCACGCATGATTGAATCCCCATGGGAAGTCTACTGGCTGACAGTTTCTGTGGTGAGGGAGCCATGTTATGGATGGGCAGAGGGAGTATGAGGCAGCACCCAGCTACATGGGGTGGGAGGGAGGGAAGGAGAAAGAGGCAAGTCCCCACATGGGGCGGGTGATCTGGGAGCTGTACGGAGTGCTGAGAGATCATCTGGATGGAGGATGAGTTAATCGGGATGTATCACAAGGGGAGAACTGTGTGCAGCCTAGGAGGATGGCCAGAGAGTGCTGACTCAGGGAAACAGAGGTTCTCTTGGCCTGGCCCCTTCTGACTAACTGCTCCAGGGCTCCTGGCCACCTCCCCTTCTGCCTCCCAGCCTGCCTGGCTGACTCCACTTCCTTGCCAATATCCCTCTTTCTTTAAAGGGGGCAGAGTGGACATTCTAGGATCCCCTTCTATTCCAGTGGTCCAGGTTCCAAAAGCTCTTACCATAGTCAAGCCGCCTCTAACCCATATTGGCAGAACCCTGATAGCACCCAGACCCATTTTCCAACTTAGTTCCTACACTTTCTATTCACCACCGCCTCTTAATCTCTTCAGAGAAGCCAGACTCAACACTTGGCTGTTTCCCCTACTCATAAAAACATGTCTGGGTTTGTCACAAAACACTCTTCCAGACTGATCGATCATCAAGACCACCCGTTATTGAAGGAGTTGGCCCCAGGACCTGAGAAGCCAAGGTGGGAGATGGGGGTTGGGGTCTCTTGCCAGGAGGGGGAGAAGAGTAAACCCAACATTTTAAAACTTAATAATATGATATTGTTCAGTATAAAAAAGAAGACAGACTGGCAAGCCCAAAGATGGGGTGGACCTGCTTCAGATTGGTGGAAGTGATTCACTTTCCTGGGGGCAAGATTAAGAGAGAAAAGGGTTGGACAGAGCCTCCTGCCACAAGCCCCAGATTCCGTCTGAGAATGTCCATGGTGTTTCGTGGCCAGAGATAGACTCTGACGGGAGGCATAGACACTGATAAATCTAGAAGCTGTAGAGTATGTCTGTAGTCCCAACACTTGGGGAGGTGAGGTAAAGAGGGTTGTGAGTTCAAGGACAGTGTGAGCTAAAAAAGCCAGTAGACCAATGAGGGTTCATCACTTCCCACAGAGCTCACTCACATGCTTAGGAACGGATGCAACCAGGTGTACAGCAGATGCACAATCACTTAGCTCATGGCACAGTAAATGCTTAGACAGCGTGTTAATGAACGCTGTGTGAAGCGCAGGAGAATGGGTTGAATCCCGCCCCAGGCCACCCAGGGTTGTTAGTTAACATTCAAGTTGGCCCTTTAAGGGTGTGTTAAAATCTGATGGCTTTGGGCTTCGAGGAATGACCAGAAGTAGTGAGCAGGAGAAAGCATTGTGGGCTCTGTGAGGACCTGCTGAGTCAGGCCAAGTACACTCTGTACACACAGGCCAGGTCCTGCTTCCTCAGGTTGGCTCGGCCAGGCAGGCCTCAAGGGAACCTGTGCCTCTGGTGCCTAATAAAGGGTGTCCGGTTTGGAGAGAGAGGGCAGACAACTTCTTCCTCCCATAGGACTATCTGTCCACAAATTGAAGGTTGATGTTCCTCTCAGGTACCAGGACAGTCCGGGTCATGGGTCTGACTGGGAGAGCACCCGGTTCAGGGAGCACCTCAAAATGGGTCAGGATCTAGAAAGGGAGGAAGCAGGTTATCACTGTGGGTGGATCTACGGTGGAGCCTTGATTGGTAAAGGACATTATTAGCATCCGCAGGGCCACTGCCGGGATGGCATTGTGACCAGTAAGGGACTTCTTGGTCAATGAGGCAGGGATTATGGAAGAGAAAATGATAGTCCAAATATCTTTGCTTATACTTTGGACCTCTCATGGACCTGCCGATGGGACTGTCTGCCCAGTCTTACATATTCCGCTAGGATTGACAGAGGACAAGAGCACCCATGTTTATTGGGCCTTTTCAGTCAGGGGGATGGCATCAATTCTAGACCACTTACCTGGGCCAAAGCCATTTGTAGCTCAAGCTCTGCCAGGCGTCTCCCTATGCAGCTGCGTTTGCCAAAGCCAAAAGGAAGAGATGCGAAAGGGTGGGGGGCTGGACCTTCCCCCAGCCAGCGAGCTGGATTAAAAGAGTTTGGCTCTGGAAACTGGGCAGGGTCCCTTGAAGTGGCATAGTGACATAGAGAGACCAGCGTCTGGTGAGGGGAAAAATGTAAACTCGTCAGTCGGTAGCCAGGTTTCGTGTCCACACTTGCAATTCTAGCCCTCAGGAGGATGGTGAGTTCAAGGCCAGCTGAGGCTATATAAAAAGACCCCATTTCAACACTAGTCCCCTCCCCGCAAAAGCACAGAGTTGTAGTGAGGTAGTCCTTCTGTAGCACTGACCACGCCCATTGGGGGGTGGAGCTATGAAGGACTACCTCACTACACAGAGTTATCAGCATGAGCCTGAGAAGGATGGGAGACTATGAAGAGGAGCATCAGGGACTAGTTTAGAAGAAGGCCCTGGCTGGTGGTGGAGAACTTTCTTTGCTGCTCCATTTTATCTTAGAAAAGGTATCATGACTCTGGAAGGGGGGGGGACTCTGGAAAGGTTTTGGAGCGTGTTTGAGGGTGCCTTGGACCCACGGGGTTAACAGAAGGATCTACTCACATTTTGGGGGATAATATAGTCACCCACTCGGATGTCTCTGCCTGGGACACGGGAATTCCCGGGTACCACGGGGTACAGTCTAGGTTACAAAACGAAAGATGGATTCAGCAAGGTGAGGCTGGCCCGCGGTGCGCGCATTTGCTGTCCTTCTCGGGGTAGAGTGCTAGCATTCCCCTCTCACTCCATTCCCATTCACTGCCCGCTTCTACTCTGGCGTTTTCTCTGGTTCGGTTCCTACTCTTCTCCTGACTCACCTTAACACCTCTTTTATCACAGCTTTCATCAGGGGTAGCTGGGCCAGAGCGGTGGCTCCGGGGTGGGCACCTGAGCCAGGGGTCATGGCAGCTGCGATCTCAGAGTGAAGTGCGGACTGGATTTCCGGGTGCCGGGAGAGCTCGTAGAGCGTCCAGGAGAGCGTGTTCGATACCTGGAGGGACAGGTGAGACCATCTGAGGTGTCAGACATGGGAATCCTGCTGAGGGGGTAGCATAGGGAGGGAGGTGGTCAGGGGCTAAAAAAGTACTAAGGCCAAGCCTGGATACGTGACCAGAGTGAACCTCACCGTGTCCACTCCAGCCAGTAGTAGCTCTGTCACGTTCCCCACGATGGACTGGACAGACAACTTTTCCCGAAAGAGGAAGTGGGTTAAGTGATGACCAGACGGCACGTCCTCCTCAGGCTTTCCGGGTTTCCTCTGGGCTGCTTCGCCTTCTCTCTGCTCCACGTGCTTCTGGGCTGAGAAAGGAGGCACACTGAGGCTTTGTGATGTGATGCTGGCACAGCTTTAGGTACCCCAGCACCCCACCCCTGACACCACACACACACACACACACACACACACACACACACACACCCCTGTGCCTTACCAAAAGCAAACATCTGGTTCCAGTCTCGGCAGAGGCGGGCCCAGGGTCCGGGTACAAGACGGTGCAACCAGTTGGGCATTGCCATGGTCAAGAGCGTGGACACAAACACGGACCCCACTGCATGGATGAAGGTCTCTGTGTCGGGAGGGACTTCAGCCTCCAGGCATCCCAGGCGGGAACCCAGCAGCACGGCGCCTATGCCTGGCCGGGAGGTGGCGCAGTCAGACACCAGGCGTCTAATGGCCCCGGAGCCAAGTACACCAGTCCCCGACTCTGTTTTAGGATTCACCTTCTAGACCAAATTTGTAAAGCTCTCCCGCCACGTCCTGGACTAGGTTGGGTAGCCCAGACCCACGTCCCCGCTGGCGCCTCAGTCGTCGCACCAGGTCGCGGACCACGTTGTGCAGAGTTCCAGCATAGCCAGCGGCTGCTTGAGGCCGGAGGAGTAACGGTGCCAGGAGACTCCGGAGCTTCTGCCATTCTTCGCCATCCCTGCCCGGGTGCAGAAAGCGCGCATCAGGGGAGGTGAGTGGTGTGGAAGACGCTAGAGTGACCAGAAGTTCCTCGCCCATCTTCCCTCGCCCTTCCTTTTTACTCATTTCCTGCCCGGGGATGGGAGTGGGTTCTAGGGTAAGCTGAGTCACAGATGCTTACATCCCATTCCATCCAGATGCTAGTACGCTCGTCAATCCCAGCCTCAAAGGTGGGGGCAGGGGCGAGGACTGGGCTCTATCTGAGTTTGGGCAGCACAGACCAGAGAACCCGGAGATGCTAGAGGGTTGGTGGAAACTGCCCACCTCCCTCCAAGCCCATCTTGGCTGGCCACAGGGGTAGGCCAGGGATGGGGGACTGGAGGTCAGGGGGTCGAATCACTCACGCTGTTAGCAATCCGCAAGCCCGCTGGTGGCGGCGACGGTGCTCTGCCCAAGACGAGAAGCTGCAGCGCTCGGGACAAGGACCCTCCTGTCGCAGCAGCTGCTCCACGAGTGGAGGGGAGGCCACATACACTGTGCGAAGGGTCCCGAAGCTGCCGGACCATATCGGCCCGTAGCGCGCAGCTCCCTGCACCTGGGAAAACCCGCACAAGAGGACGTTTGAACACTTGGGAGGGTCACTTGTGCCAAAGCCAAGGGCGTTGGCTAGGCTTGGGAAAGGGGAGCTTTTCCCAGTGCCGGCCCAGGTGTGGCTAGCTTTTTCTCCCATCCCTTGGAAGTTTGGGCGGGAATGGTAAAATAGAGGAACTTTGCTTAAAGCAGACATCGAAGACTTCTCTTTGTTATCTGGCTGTAGCCTAGGGGGAGCAGTTTCTTTAAGGCTTCTCTGCTGGATTGCATCTCAAGATGAGCAGTAAGAGAAAAGGAATCCGCAGCTTTAAGCCGGAGCTGAAGGATAGATAGCACAGGGCTCTCACCATCCCGCACTCTTGTCCTGATCTGCAGGTTTCCCTGTCTATAAAGTGAGAGTACATCCCTTTGCCGGATGTAGGTACAGACTGTGGGGCGGTAGAACCGACTCTAGTTCATGACCCACAGGTACCCATTCTCACGGGTCTCCTTCCTGTGCTCTTCACTGTGGTCCTTTCTGCCATTAAAGCCAGTTCTTCCGGCTCAGTCCTAACAATGGCAAGGACTGCCCGTCTTACCTGCAGTTCATGTAGCCTGGACAGCCCCCCTTTGCAGAAAAGTTCTGCCAGGAAGCCAGGCATAGAGGGCCCAGGGATGTCAGGCAGACTCCGGAGACCAGAGTTGGGACCTCTAGAGGCCAGCGAGGCATCCAGCTGCCGAGGCAGGTGGGCTGGATGGAGCACTCTGGAGGCGAGCTTGACTGCCTGGGTCATGTTTAACGTTCAAGGAGTCAGCCACACTTCTCCAGGGCATCTTTTGCCCTTGTCTGAACCCCTTTATAACCCTTGGCCATGGAGGTGAGGACACCCCTCTCCAGCTCTTCAGCCAATCCCTTTTGCAGGGTGGTCTGTGAGGGAAGGCAGACCCAGGAATGGTGGGCGGGGCTGGGTCCCTGTGGTAAGGATTCCTCAGAGCTGCCCCTTGGTCCAGGGCAGCAGCCTAAAGTTCTCTTGCTGGGAAAGGCTATTCAGTGTGGATCTCAGAAGTACCTCCTATTCCCACCACCTCCCTTCAGACCCATTCTGAATTCCTTACTATCTCACCCTGAGATAAGATGGAAGACAGTTTGAGCTGCACCCCCCCCCCCCCGGGTATTCTTGGCTCCTTGGATTGCCCCTTCCCTGCTATGGGATCTACCTGAACTAGCCACAACTCTCTCCTCCTATGCCTGACACATAGAGGCAAGGCCACATGCGGGCTAATGGGTTAAAATGATATCAGCCACGTTCATCTTTTATTTATTTATTGTATTTTAAATGTTTTTTTGAAAGATTTATTATATATAGCGTTCTGCTTGCAGGCCAGAGGAGGGCGCCAGATCTCATTACAGATGATTGTGAGCCACCATGTGTTTGCTGGGAATTGAGCTCAGGTGCTCTGGAAGAGCAGCCAGTGTTCTGAACCCTTAATCGCTGAGCCACCTCTCCCTCCCCTCAATTTATTTATATGCATGATTTGCCTTTATGCTTGTGCGATGTCTGGCTGGTGCTGTTGAAGTCAGAAGAGGGAATGTGGATCTCCAAGCTGAAATCATGGTCGTGAGCCACTGTGAGTGCTGGGAACTGAACCCAGCTTCTCCACAAAAGCAGCACACACTCTTAACCATTGAGCTGTGGCTACGAACCCCTTTTCCTTTTGAAGACTTAAACTACCACCTCCAGACTCCATCCTTGCTTCTTTGGGGAGTTTCTTAGCTAAATAAGCCCCTTCCTTTCAGACACAGGGGGCTGTGTTTGAGGAATAGAAATGAAGGAGTGTCTCAGGGCCAGCAAGATGGCTCAGCAAGTAAATGCACCTGACACAAAACCTGGTGACCTGAGTTTGGTCCCAGGGACACACACAGTTTGACCAGGGACACACAGTGCAAAATGAGAACTGGCTCGGCTGAGTTGTCCTTTTACCACAGCCTCACCTCCTGCAAACAAACGGAAGTAATAAAAACAGGTCAGACGGTGATGCTGCACACCAATCCCAGCACTCGGGAGGCAGAGGCAGGTGGATCTCTGTGAGTTCAAGGCCAGCCTGGTCTACAGAGTGAGTTCCAGGACAGCCAGGGATACACAGAACTGTCTCAAAAACCCAATAATAATAATAATAATAATACAAAGGTTTCTTTTTCCTTTCTTTTTTGCAAAGTACAGAAGTTTGCAGACTCTTATCTTTGGACAGGATGGAAGCTAAGCACACCCTGAACCCCAAGCTCACTCAACCTTTTGGGGAACCTGTGGTCAGCAGTCACAGAATCCTACAGTTCAGGGCTGGAGGGATGGCTCTGCAGTTAAAAGCACCAGCTGCTCTTACAGAAGAGCAGGGTTCAGTTTCCAGCACCCACGTGGCAGCTCACAGCCACCTGTAACTTTGGGTCCAGGGGAACCAACTCCGTTTTCTGACCCCCAAGGGCCCAGGCATAAGTGTGGTGCACATACCTATATGTAGGCAAACACTCACATACACACAAATAATTAAAAAATGAGTTTCCAGTTTAGTCCCTTGTCCCTTTGTCCCTCCTCCTCTTCCTCACCCCATCGGGTACCATGCCAGTCAGTCAGCTTTGAAACTCTGGGATCGAAGGTCAGCACGGTAAAGGCCAGGGCCTCTGCCCTCTTGCCCTCCAATACTACAGAGACAGCAACAGTAACGCAGCAGGGGTGGCCCGGGCCAGACTGCAAGCGTGGGGAAGGTGGGGGGAGGCACGTGATACACACCGCAGCCCCTCTGGGAAACAGCAGCATGGGCATGTGGACACACACATCATCCCCAGGACTGCAGAGTAAACAACGGGGGGGGGGGGGACGAGACCTGAGCCAAGTGCACAGCTCAGGCTATGGGCATTCTTCACACTCCAGCTGAGGAGGAACCCAGCGGGGGCGGGAGGGAGGACAGAGTCCCCACGGGCCCCCAAATAGACCCTTCTCAGTCAGCTTCTTTTGCTTTCTTCTGGGGGGGGGGAGGTGAGGGGGACGACGAGAAAGCAGCGAGTCAGCGATGGGTAAGAACACAGGCTGCACCCTGCTTCTTGGAGAGAACATGGCCTCAGTCCCACCAGGTCTTGGGGCGGGGGGGTCCGGAATGGGGAGCTGATTTTTTTCTCCAGTCACTAGAAGAGCGAGCCCAGCTAAAGCGGGGTAAGAAGTCAGTGGTCAGGCAGGGTGGGGTTGCGGGTCACTGACTGGAGGACGGGATCCTGGATTCTTCGGAAGATGGCTGGGAAATTCTTTCCTCCGTTGCGTAGAACTTTCTTTCCTTCCTCAGTTGAAGTGCCTAGATGTTCCACAATGGGATCTTCACTCTGCAGAGAGAGGATTCAGCATGGCCCTGCCCACCTGGCCCTGAACTAAGTGCTACAGGGCCTCTCTGAATGGGCCTGACTACTTGCGCTCTCCCCCAGGCATCCTTACCAGCTCCTCCAGGGGCACACGCTCAAACAGTGGGTGCTCTTCAAAATGGGTACACATCCATTGGTGTAGCTCCAGCACGTCGGTGATGGTGTACACCAGCCCCTGCATTGCATAGCAACTGTCACTCTAGATAGGGCTGCAGGGACTGAGCAACGAGGGAAAAGCCCGGCAGTCTGGGTGCCCCTCCCGCCCCCCTACTCCTTGGTGAGGTCCCACGCGTAGGCCACCGACACCGTCTTCCCTCCCGGCTCACCCCAACTCTCAGCACGTAGGCGTATTCTGCCAGGAGTGTGGAACTGATGATTCGCCATTTATGCTTTGTTCGCTTAAAATGCGGGTCGGGGAAGAGGAAGAACAGCTTCCTCAGCTGTGGGACAGACGAGGACCAATGGGATGGCTGGTGAGTGCCCTGGCTTCCGAGTTCCCGTAGGAGCCTACCCACCCGGCGGCTCCCCGGGCTGCACCTGGCCCTTGTGGAAGAAGTTGGGAAGGTGCTTCATGGCGTTACTGCGGAGACAGGCGATGTTCTGGAATCCACCTCCGGGAGCCGCACGTAGGGCCCGAATCCTGTCTTGTACATAGTCCGACACCTTTACCCGAATCTCCAGCCCCAGAATCAGGGTGTCTGGGAAGAGCGGTGACAGTGTCACTGGGACAGAGACACAATGGGATCATCAGTGTCGTATTTTGAGGAAGTACACAGAGGTAAGTTTCTGCCTGTAGATCTCTAAGTCAGCACTGGGGCAGATACCCATACCTGCAGAGTTCTCTGCAGGGCAGAAAAGACTAAGCTGTCACACATCTCCCAGGAGCAGGGTATGGTGGCTCTTGCCTTTAATCCTAAGCACTGGAAATAGGGAACGGGGACAGAGGCAGGCAGGATCTATGAGTTCAAAGCCAGCCTGCTCTATATAGCAAGTTCAGACCAGACAGGGCTACACAGTGAGACCTGTCTGAAAAAATAAAAAAACAACAAAAAGATCTGTCGTACAGACTAGAAGAAAAGGGCAGAAACTATAGGTACAGTCTGCATTTGCTCTAGAGCAGTGGTTCTCAAACTTCCTGATGCTGTGACCCTTCAATACATTGCTCATGGTGCGGTGACCCCCACCGTAAAATTACCCCATTGGCACTTCACCACTGCAACTTTGCTGCCGTTATGAGTCGTAATGTAAGTATCTAATATGTGGCCCCAAAGGGTCTCGACCCACAGGCTGAGAACCGCTGCTTGCAGTTTTCACATCAAAGCCGCTTTTAACCCTTTTCACGCTCTGTGGCAGACTGTGAAGCTGCGGGCGCTGAGCTGAGGGTCACAGAAATGCTCGCAGTCATAGGACTAACAAGGGAGAAGCTTGGACATGAGGCAACACGTCCATCGACAAGAATGTGGAAACACAGGAGAGCGGTTCGCTATGCACGCCCTGGAAAACAAAGACAATACCGCAGGCACGATGTGTTTTGGTGAGGAAGGGGTCAAAGGGGGAAGCCGGTGGAATCCCCGAGAAAGACAGTTCAGGATCAGTGAGCACAGTGGCTCATCTCTGACGCTTGTGCTGACCGGATCGCTGACCCAGCACGGGGCAGGTGAAATGGCTCATGCAGGGACTGGACCCAGACAGAACAACCCGGGTTCTAAGATACATTCGAGGCAGCCCCCTCCCTTCTGCAGGGCAAAGGCCACAGACCCGGAGTAGAAGGCAGGAGGAGGCTCTCTGGCTGATGTCACCGCTGTCTGGCTGCGGGAGGAAAGGTCCACTAACCCTGACTCTGACCTCTCCTTGTCCCAGGGAAAGGGCCAGCTCATCACCTAACAAGCCGCCATAGCCACAGCCTATGTCTGCGAACTCCACTTGCGCCCGGGCTTGCTTTTCGTTCGTATCCTTTGGATCGTCATGGCTCTTATTCTGAGTAAGGGGAGCAAAGAACTCTGGGTAAAGCTCTGACCAGTCCATGTCCTCTGGCTTCACAGGGCTGTTGGAGAGAAGACATGAGACCGTTGGACTCGCCAATGCAGGTGTACTAGTTTGGGGGGGGTGGTAGATTTCTCAAAAATAAACAAACAAATAAATAAATAAAGAGTCTCGGTCCGAATGGTGTCCAGAAGGCACGAAGGGAAGTCCCTGGCTCCCAGGGTGAGTCAGGGTCCCTTCAGGAGGCTATGGCAGCTGACTTGCCAACCTCTTGGGGGGGGGGGGGGGGGGGGGGGGGGAGCTTTCTCCCAACACTGACTGCCTGAGGAGGGGGGGGGTACTGGGACACTATCTTGTTGACGTGTTTTCTGTGGGGAGGATGAAGCAAGGAGTGTGTATATGTTTATCTTTTTAATGAATTGAAAAGCCCAATGGGAGCCCGGCGTCGGTGGCGCACGCCTTTAATCCCAGCAATCGTGGGGGACAGAGGCAGGCGGATCTCTGTGGGTTCGAGGCCAGCCTGGTCTACAGAGCGGGTTCCAGGACAGCCAGGGCTGCACAGAGAGACACCCAGTCTCGAGAAACCAAAACCATTTTCTTTTTTCTTTCTTTTTTTTGAATCGGAAGGTGGGAGGGACCACCTGCTCCGCTTCTTCTTTCCAGTTTCAGCAACAATCGCTGTGTCTTCTCAGACTTGGTCTACAACACCACGACCCCGCCCAGCCGGTCAACTCCGCCTTGCGCTAAGTCTAAGCCTCCCTCGACTGCCGGCCCTCCGGCCCTTCCTCCCAGGCCCACCCCGGGTGCCAGCGCTGCGCCCGCCCGCCCGCTCCCGGCCCGCTCACTAGCGCAGCGTGTGGTCCGCCATGGGGTTGGAGTGCGCTCGCTGCCGGTAATAGCGCTTCTGCGGCTGGGGGGCCTCGGCTCCCGCCATGATGCCGCCGCCGCACCCGCGTGGAGGGCCGAGGCGTCGGGCGCACGTTGATGACGCGGCCCGTGGCCCCGCCAGCAGGCCCCGCCTCTTAAAGAAACAAGGGCCAATTCTGCGGAACCGCGACGGGTGGGCCCCGCGGGGAGGAGCGGGCGCGCGGCTGGTCTCTGGGCTTGCTGGAAGGCCAGCCCCGGGCACCCCGCCTTCTCTGCAGCCTCGCATCCGCCTCGTCCCGGCTCCCAGAGGCCTGCAGGCACCTGTGCGCCCCACAGGTGAGCGGGGTGCGGGGGACCCGCCTCTGACGTCCATGCAAGCATCTGTTTCTTCTCCCTCGTGGCGGTCGCAAACCAAGTCATCCCGGTCTGACCTGTGTGGCGCTGCGTGGGCCCTGCCCTGTGTGTGCCGGGGACCCGAGCTCGGGGACGGGGACGGGGGCGGGGGGTCGTCCCCACCCAGGCCCAGGAAGTCTCCAGCAGAGGGAAGGAGGGCGATCTGGGGAGGCGGGGCCCGGTGCCTGGGAGCAGCCCATACGGCTACGGTCCCCAGCCTCGACCCAGCCGCGGAGTGGGGTCGGAGCGGGCGCCGGCCCAGGTGCTCGGGTGCTCGCTCCTGCAGTTCTGCAGGATGGCCGGCTGGCGCCCGGATCCTGAGCCCGAGCCCGAATCCGTGTTCCCACGGGAGGTGCGGCTCTTCTCCGACTCCTACTCGGAGAGCAGCCGGTTCTGCTTCTGTGGGCACGAGCTGAGCATCACGCAAAACTTTGGGTCGCGCCTTGGGGTGGCGGCACGCGTGTGGGATGCGGTGAGGATGCCTGCCCTAAGCCGGGATCCCTGAGAGGTGCAGTCCCCGGACCCCGCTCTCCCATATGGAGCCATCACCGTGACAGCGTCTCTCTTTCTCTTTCTTCCTGCCCCCTCGTAGGCTCTGAGCCTGTGTCACTATTTCGAGAGTCAGAATGTGGATTTTCGAGGCAAGAAGGTGATCGAACTGGGCGCTGGGACGGGCATCGTGGGAATCTTGGCGGCGCTGCAGGGTGTGTGAGCTGGGGTTGCCGGAGGAGGAGGGTGGGGGCGGGAGTGTGCAGAAGTTACTACGTGGATTCCTTGGGGGTGGGCAGGGCTTCTGAACTCTGCTCTGTTCTTTCGTTTTAGCAAACCCCTACTTTTCTGTGAGGCAGACAGCGCAGATTGGAGTTCAGAACACCCAGGACAGTTGGTTCGAGGGTGGGTTAAACGAATCAGATAGGGATTCCATGAAAAGTGCTGGACACGCTCTGCCGTTGAAATGCGAGTGTGTGTGTGTGTGTGTGTGTGTGTGTGTGTGTGTGTGTGTGTGTGTTCTGAAGGAGAGAAGAGACTTAGGGCATTAAACCTCACCACACTTTGCAGCTTCATTATGTTAGAGTCTCATGGCTCTCTCTCCTCTCCCCCCTCTTTTTCCTCTCTCTCCCTCTCTCCCTCTCCTCTCTCTCCCCCTCCCGCCTCTCTTTTTGTGGGGGAGTGGGGTGGAGTGTGGTTTGGTCCAGACAGGCTCTCTTGTTGCCCAGGCTGGCCAGAAGCACATTATGTAGAGGTGATTAGCCTTAAATTCCTGGTTCTCTTGCCTTAATTTCCCAAGTGCTGAGCTTATAGGTGTGAGCCACCATACCGAATATAGCCTTGCTAGGAGACACACGGTTATGAATTTTGGAAGGCTAGGGTCTGGTGAATATATATATATATATATATATATATATATATGTGTGTGTGTGTGTATATATATTCATTTTAGTTGTAAGGGGTGTGTGGTGATTGTATACATTCATTGTAGATGTAGGGGGTAATTAACCAGCTGAGACTTGGACAAGGAAAAAGTCAGAAAAATTGTGTGTGGTGCAGACAGGGTTGTCCTTGTTGGTAGAGACAGAGCTGGGTCGCATAAAGGGAAGTCTGTGCAGGCACAGACGTTCTTCTATTCTAAGCCCTCTGTGTGCCAGGAGTCTTGCTGAGCGGCCAAGGATTTGACATGGACTAAGAAGGACCTGCTCACTTGTAGTCTAATGAGGGACAGTGAACGTGTGAAGGCTCTAGGCATCCTGGATGACAGTCAGGTGTGTGCGGCATGGGTGTGCTCTGGCCAGAGCTACCTTGACTGCTGAGGGGTCCACCCAGGCGATCTCTAACACAGGAGGGGTTGAGGAGGGTCAGAAGGTTATACTGAAAGAAAAGAAGCCAAGTGTAGGGTTTCATGCCTATGATCCCAGCACTCAGGAAGCGGAGGTAGGAAGACTGCTGTGAAGTCAAGGGCCAGCCTGGGCTACAGCTTAAGCCCCTGTCTCCGGTAGGAAGGGAGGGAGAAAAGGAGAGAGAGGGGGGGAGGGAGGAAGGAAGGGAGGGATGGAGAGAGAGAGGCAGAGAGAGAGAGAGAGAGAGAGGAGGGAGGGAGGGAGAGAAGGGAGGGAGGGATGGAGAGAGAGAGGCAGAGAGAGAGGAGGGAGGGAGGGAGAGAAGGGAGGGATGGAGAGAGACAGAGAGAGAGGGCTGTCTCTCTACTGTCAAGCCAGTGGATGCTTGTTTGTGCCCTGCTTAGTTGCCAAGTCCAGGTCTGAAATCTTGGTGTTGTCTCCTACTCTCTCACTTTGTAACCCAGAAATCAGCCGGCCCTGCGTTCTTAACCCTTGCACACCTGCCTGTTGCCTGCATCGAGTTTCTCCACTACCACTTCTTGCTCTGATTTTCTTGAGCATCTTCCGTGCTTCCAGCCGGGGAAGGTTAGCACTCCCAGACTGACCCTGTGATCTTACTTCCCCCACCAAACCTGTTTCTCCCTGCAGGTCCAGCCATCATGAAGCCACCATCTGCCCAGGGCAGAATCTAGACATTACCTTTGTCATGCCCTGCTTTCTTCCTCATACCCTTCATGCCCTGTGGCTTTCAGTTCCTAAACATCTCATTGGGTTTTCTCCACTCCCCAGCCCGAGCTACCACCATCACTTGTTCACACCATAATAAGTAGTCAAACTGGTTGGGCTTCTTGCTCTGAGTTCTGGCCCCCACCTAGATCCTGGCTTGCTCATACCACCCCACAATCAGAATGGTTCTTTCAAAATGAGGCTATCATCATCACACCTCACCACACTTGTCTACTGATCCTTGCATCCTTCAGTGTAGAAGTGACCCCTTTAACCTGGCTACCGACGTCCTATCTCCCTTTCTTACCTCTCTCGATACCTCTCTCCCCAGCCTGTTCTCCTTGGCTTCTCTTTTACCCTTCTGTCCGTTCTGCAAACCTGCTTTGATGTCCCCTTCTTTAGGGACTTCATGGGGGCTGCACTTTCTGCTGGAAATGGTTTTACTGCCTGGTTAATGCAGTGTATTCCTCGTTGCTGGGCTCAAGCAGCCCTCCCCAGGGAAGGCACCTTCCTCTCCACCACCCCCAGCCCAGGCTGGCTCAGGTCCCCTTAGTACTCAATTGAGAGCAACTGCTCATTAGAGTCAATTTAGACTGGTTTTCCCTGAGCTTGGGTGGGTCCTTGTGCAACACAGCTAGCTTGTCAAACTTCCTTTGCCCATTTACTCTTTTTCCTACACATCTGTTTCTTAACCTTTCTTTTTTGGATTTTTTAACCTTCTTATTCTTCAAACTGTGGATGTCTCCTCTGCAATTATCACCCTTGTCTGATGACTCTCTCTCCATACGTGTGTGCGTGTGTGTGTGTATGTATGTATAAATTATACAGAGTGTGTATAGATGGCATGTGTGGTATCTGTGTACATAACTATGCTGAAACTCCTGTTGTAGGGGAGGGGTGTGGCTGGTTCTATGTCTCCTGAGCCATTTCTCTGCCTGGGAGAGAATACTGTTTCTAATGCCACTGCAGTTCCTCTCCTGTTTTTTCTCTGTCCACTCGTTAGGCCTTCGCCTCCCTCCGTGCCTCTAGCTGGAGTTGTGAGCTTCATGTTCCCCATGTTTTGGACTCAGGGGGTCGGTTTCTAGCCCCTTCCAGTTGACTTTAGCATTTGACAAGGGCACTTCACTCTACTTGCAAAATCCTTTGCTTTCTGGGCCAACACGCTTCCTGCTCCCACTTAGGTCGCTGGCAAGAGCTCAGGAGTAGACCCTTTGACCCCTTCTTTCTTCTGGCTAGCCTCCCTCCTGAGAAGTCACATTGTTTTGTGCCTTTGAGTGTCCTCTTCATGGGAAGAACCAGGACTCTCTTTTCTATACCCAGACTTGTTGATAGAACAGAACCCACTGCCTTTTCAGTATCTCAGGCATGTGATTGGTTGATGGACATTTCAGACCTGGCTCACAAATGACATCATGCTCCCATTTCCCAGCCTGCCTCTCCCGAAGCCCTCTTCATTTACATAATGGGCAATTTGGCCTGAGTTAGGCCAGATGTTCAAAACCCATCCTTAATTAAAATCTCTCTGTCTCTCTCTGTCCCTCTCTCCCTGTGTCTGAGAGATGCAAAGAGGGAGAGAGAAAGGGAGATTCGGTCTGTTGACATTTACAGTGCCCTCATAATATATTTAGGATTTGATTACGTCTCAGTCATTGTCACTACTGGATTCCTAACCATCATCCTTCCCCTTGGCCATTGCAGTTGCCTCCTGACGAACCCTCCTGTTTCTGTCCTTGTCCTGCTGCAGTTTTTATTTTGTGTGCAGTGTGTGTGTGTGTGTGTGTGTGTGTGTGTGTGTTCTGCCTGCATGTGTGTACCACATGTGATTCTGGTGCCTGAAGAGGTCACATGAAAGTGTTGGATTCCCTGGAACTGGAGTTACAATGGTTGTGAGCCACCATGTGGGTCACATGATGAGTCAAACCTGAGTCCTCTGCAGGAGCAACAAGTGTTCGTAACTGCTGAGCTGAGCCATCTCTCCAGTCTGCTTGTTTGTGGCTTTTTTTTTTTTTTTTTAAATCACAGCAATCAAAGTGCATCTCATCTCATAAGCGCTGAGTCACTGTATGAATTGCTTCTACTCAAAACTCTGTCCCATCTCCCCTCACCACAGGGCCTGTCCCCTCTGTCCACCTCCCCCCCCACTCACACACTCACACACACACACTCTCACACACATATACTCACACATACACACTCACACACATACACTCACACACACTCACACACATACACTCACACACACCCTCCTCTCTCTCTCTCTCTCTCTCTCTCTCTGTCTCTCTCTGTCTCTCTCTCTCCTCCTGCTGCTGTTTGCCCCTGCTGCTCTCTCCATCTTTACACCTCCCAGGCACAGTTCTGCCTCAGGCTCTCAGTACTTGCTGATGTGGTGTTTGGTAGACTTTAGTCGGGGAGAGCCACCAGGATCTGCTCCATCCCTGTCTGCCTTCGGCTTTCCGCAATAATGTTCAGGGAGGATTTCCCAAGCCATTCCATTAAAGGTGTGCTCAGTGCCTTCACCCTCAAGGAACTCATACCTTTTCCCTGTGTGGGCCTCACTGAAGCACATATTACTGTCTGATGTAGTGTGTGTGTGTGTGTGTGTGTGTGTGTGTTTGAGACAAGGTCTAATGTAACCCTGTTTGACCTTAAACTCCTAATCTTCTAGCCTTTACTTCCCAAGTGCTGGGATTATAGGTGTGAGCCACCAGGTCCTGTTAATTTTTGGTTTGTTGACGGTGTGTGATGTGTCTTACCCCAGACGGTTTAGGACTTAAGTCTTCCTGCCTCTGCTTCCCAAGTGCTATGGCTGCAGATGGGTACCACAATGCTTGGATACTTTGTTTCTTTTGGTCCTGTCATCTTTTCTTGCCACTGTTTTTGTTGTTTTCCAGACAGGGTTTCTCTGTGTAGCCCTTGATGTCCTGGAACTCGCTCTGTAGACCAGGCTGGCCTCAAACTCACAGATACCCACCTGCCTCTGCCTCCCAAGGGCTGGGATCAAAGGTGTGCGCCACCACTGACCATTGAGGGGTGCATTCTTACCTTTCTTGTTCATACCTGTCTTGTTCACTGATGTATCCCAGACACCTAGCATGCAGATCCATGATGAGGATGGATGAGTGAGATCCTATTACTTCTATACTATTAATCATGCTTTGCTTCCAGTTAAGTCGTTACTTTTGTGATACTGTGTTTCTATGTCTAGAATGAAACCTTAGGGAGGCTGTAGTTTTGTTTTGCCTCCCGTTGTTGTATCCCTAGCATTTGGCAAGTACTCAGTGCATGTGTTTGTTGTGTGAGCCTGTCATACTGATCCGGTCTTTACCCCACATTCTACTCTTAAAGCCTATTTCTTGGACTGCGATATAGCTCTGTGTCTGAGTGCTTGCTTAGTGGGTGACTGAACTTCTTCAGGCCCGACTCTCTTCAGCGGGCCGTAGTCCTGTGGTGCTCAGTCTTCCTAAGGCGTTGACCCTTTGATACGGTTCCTCATGTTGTACTGACTCCCACAGCCATAAAACTATGTTTGTTGCTGCTTTCTAACTGTAATTTTGCTACTGTTATGACTCATAATGTAAATACCTGTGTTTTCCTGTGGTCGTTTGGGGGTGGCGACCCACAGGTTGAGGTCCACTCTTAGACCACAGCCTGCCTTAACTATGCCATGCCCTTTGCCTGCCAGGTGCTTGTACTCTATTCTCTGCCTGGGAAGCCTCACCTGACTAACCTGTACTTGTCCTTTGGGGCTCAGCCGAGGTCACGTCTTCTGAGTTTGGGTGGGTTAGGTGGGTGAGGGTGCATAGCTCAGCCCCAGCTTGGTCTTGCCCAGGCTTTTGCTGACATCTGGTCGTTGACCAGAGAGGTTGAAGATTAGCTCGGAGAGAATGTCGATGTTGTGGAATGTAGAGTAGCCAGAGTGGCATGGGTGAGATCGGGGTTAGGGCAACTAAAAGCCAAAGCATGGACTTCGGGCTGTCAAGACACGAGGCCTTGAGGTCTCTGGACCCTCCCGGCAGGCGTCATGAGCCCTTCCGTGGGCCCTCTGACTTGGATTTCTCCTCCTTACTCTCCCTCAGGGGGGGATGTTACCATCACTGATTTGCCACTGGCCCTAGAGCAGATCCAGGATAATGTCCACGCTAACGTGCCATCTGGAGGCCGGGTGAAGGTGTGTGCCTTGTCCTGGGGAATTGACCAGCATGGCTTTCCGGGAAACTATGACTTGGTGCTGGGGGCAGATATCGTGTACCTGGAAGCGACCTTCCCGCTGCTGTTGGGGACCCTCCAACACCTGTGTGGGCCCCGTGGCACCATCTACCTGGCTTCCAAGATGAGAGAGGAGCATGGGACAGAGGTCTTCTTTCAGGACTTCCTGCCCCAGCACTTCCAGCTGGAGCTGGCCCAGCGGGATGAGGACGTGAATGTCAATATCTATAGGGCCAGGCACAGGGAAGTGAGACCTGCTGGACATCATCCTTTCTGTTGACCTCAACCCCTGCCTCAGTGGAGGAGTGGCCTGTCTCCAGAGCCATGAACATCAGACGAAAGGAAAGGATGGATCGCCTGTCTTCTTCCTTCCCTCTTCCAGTTTGTTCCCTAGATATTCTTGGGAAGGCGCAGGAGGGGAGCCGCTTGTTAAAAATGGCAGAGCCCTAGAAGCATTGAGGTAATGCTTGTCTTCAGCAGAGGCGGATGAGGAAGTATTCAGGGTACTTAGGAGAAAGGGAGGAAACAGGGTATGAATACCAGCTGCACAGAGAGATCGTCACTGATCACTTCCAGTTCTTTAAACAGAATGGACTTTTTTGTTTGTTTGTCTTTTGAGACAGGGTTTCTCTGTGTAGCCCTGGCTGTCCTGCAACTCACTCTGTAGACCAGGCTGGCCTCAAACTCAGAGATCTGTCTGCCTCTGCTTCCTGAGTGCTGGGATGAAAGGTGTTAGCTATCACCACTCTGGTGGTGGACTTTTTAACTCCAGCACCCCAGAGGCAGGCAGATCTCTGGGAGTTCAAGGCCAGCCGGAACTATATATTGAGACCCTGTCTCAAAAAGCAAGCAAACAAACAAAAAATTTTAAGGGGGGAAAAGCATCATTCATGTCTTTGTACTCCCAAACACGTAGCTATCTATTGAGGGAGGGCTGGTACCAAGACACCTCAGAGCACCTGCATCTTGCCTGCTATAATAAGACTATAAGACATGTCCTCCTAGACCTGAGCCTGGGGACAAGCACCAGAGCTGTCCCTTTTGGCTGTGGCTTCTTCATCCTTTGCAAAGTTGAAGGCCTGATCACAGAAACTCATGCTGTACCCAACTCTGGATTGAGTTCTAGGTTCTTCTGATCTCTTCCAAGTTCAGTTTTCCCTTCCTAATTTGTTTTCCCCTCAAGTCTCATCTCTCCCCTCTGGAACTGTTTGGGTAGGCTCTTTTCACTTGAGATTTAGGCACGCAGTTGTCTCCTGTGTGTGTGTGTCCACCACCACTCACTTAACCTCCAAACTATTCTTCAAATTCTTGCAACCTTCCAAAACTTGCTGGATCTACCTTCTGCAGCGAGAAGGGATGCTTCAGCCTGGTACCCAGGCTGTGCTCGTGCTCACAAACTACTCTGTGTTTCATTTCCTCCTCCTTTTGTTGCAGTTTTCGTCAAACTGCAAACGCCCTGCCCTTTGCCCCCTTCCCCTAACTCTGGCAGTATTCCCTCACTTCTCTCATCCGATGAAGCCCCTTAAAATTCACTCTTTACTTCTGGAAAAACAAAAACAAACTCTCCTTTGCCTGACTCTTCTGTTTGGATGTGATTTCCTTCCTTGGGAGATCTTTTAACTGTTTAGGGACCTTGTGTTGTCTTACCTGATTTCTTATTTCCTCACCACTTGGAGGGCAGGGCTGTGGTTTATTCATCACTACATCACCTGGCAGCAGCTCCGGGCACGCAGGTGTCCAGCAGATAATCTTGCTAATTCGGTAATTATTTATTCGGGTTGTTGAAGGAACTCCACTTCACCTCTCCAAGTGACATTGAACCACCTACCTACTTCCCGTTTGTCCTGAGTCATAAATGAATACCAAATATGGAAATACACTGGAAATAAAGAAACATAAAATATTCACTATGTGTCTTGTGACAACTTTGTGACAACGTTACCGTGCCTTTTTTTCCTGTTTCACCGCTGAGCGCTAAGTCTTTGGTGACATGTTTTACAAAGAAAACATGAAAAGATGGCTCAGAGGTTAAGAGTGCTGACTACTCTTGCAGAGATCCTGAGTTCAATTCCCAGCAACCATGTGGTGGCTCACAACCATCTGTAATGAGATCTGGTGCCCTCTTGTGGTGCGCAGGCAAACATGCAGATAGAACACTGTATCCGTAATAAATAAATCTTTAAAAAAAAAAAAAAAAAAACCAAGCCAGAGAGGCGATATACTCCTCCGGCCTGCAGGTGGCAGCATCCTCTCGTCACATGCCAGAAGGAGTTTTGTCCCTCGCGCCTCGCCGTAGGCCGTCGCCCCACCTGTGCGCCGGCGGACGGGCGTGTCAGGGCTGCAGGAGGCGATGTCGCTGCTGCGGTCGCTGCGCTTCCTCCCGGTCGTGTGCACCGGCCGCTCGGTGAGGGCTCCCGGGTGCCGTGAGCGCGCCCTTCCTTGTCCCGACCCGGGCTCGCCTCCCTCCCCGAGGTCTGGCCCCGCGGTCATGCTCCCTCGCCTTGCATCCAGCTGCGGCCGCTGCCGACTGCTCATCCCTTTCTCCTCACCCCCCTCCCCCAGGCCAGGTCAGCCCTGCTGCAGCCGACCCAGCCATGGCACACGTTTCACGCGGGCCCCTCCTCGTCGTCTTCTGCCTCCAGCAAGGAGCTCCTTATGAAGCTGCGGCGGAAAACAGGCTACTCCTTTGTCAACTGCAAGAAAGCTCTGGAGACGTGTGGCGGTGACCTCAGACAGGTGGGAGGAGGTGCTGGCTCGACCTCGTACTCTGGGGACCACAGACTGTCCTACCGCCCGGTGTCCTTAACGACAGAGCCCAAACAGGGGAATTTGTCCTAAACCATAGTTGCATCCTTCGGTTTCGTCTTCAGTGGACCCAGACTCCCGGAGTTAACTAACTGTATGCCATGTTAGAGGGATTTCCTGCTGCTTGCAGATCCGTGTTCGTGTAAATTTTGAAGTTAGACGCCGGAGGCCCTCTCTCTCTTTCTGTCACACACACACACACACACACACACACACACACACACACACACACACTGTAACTTTGTACATTGCAATTAATCCCTTAGGGGTGTGTCAGTGTTGTCTGTGTAATGAAAACACTCCTGTCCCATAGCGGGGTTATGAAGATTAAAGTTATACAGGCGCCGGCTACACACAGAGCGTTTAGTAGTAGACTGCTTCCTGTTATAGGGAGTGCAGAAAGAATCGGCTGACTCAGATATATTTTGTTTTCCAAACTGGGGTTTCTCTTTGTAGCCCTGGCCGTCCTGGACCGACTTTGTAGACCAGGCTCGCTGCAGATTCATAGAGATCCCCGTGTCTGCCCAGTGGGTTTGGAGATTATTTCTAATTCCTGTGGTTGGCTTTTTCCTCTTTTCCATGTGTAGGCAGAGGCCTGGCTGCACAAGCAGGCCCAGAAGGAAGGCTGGAGCAAAGCCGCCAAGCTCCATGGGAGGAAGACTAAAGAAGGCTTGATCGGGCTGCTGCAGGAAGGAAACACATCTGTATTAGTAGAAGTGAGTTGTTGGGATTCCGTAGTATCCTACAGACAGCGGTGTCTGGGAGTGTAAGGGTTGTGATATACTCTTCGTTTGCTTAAGGAATCTATCTATTTGAGGCCACAGTGGTGTTTGGAGTTCACTTCTCAAGGCCTGGGTGTAAGTGTGGACATGCACAACTGTCTGGATGGGAAAGTGGCCTAGCAACCTAATCCTTTCTCCTAAGTATACATCCAGTGCAGGCTTGTTACCTGGAACAGGTAGATTTAGAAGCTAGCAGCAGGGTGTGGTGGCTCTCATCTGTGTTCTCAACACTTGGGAGGCTGAGGCAGGGGGATTACTGTGGGTTTGAGGGCAGCTAGGCTACAGAATGAAGCCCCGACCCCCCCAAAAAAAAAGTAAGAAACGAAGCTAGATTTGTAAAGTTAGTAATCATTAGCTATTACTTCCTGTGTTGATGACTAATGAGTAGCGGATTTAGAAGATGTGTGTGTGTGGGGGGGGGCGGGCCCATGACTGAAGAAAAAGCAGATGCAGATAAGGCTACAATGAAGGGATGACATAAACAAGTGATGGTAACAGTGGTTTGGAGACTGGGCATGGTGGTGCATGGATGTAGTTCTAGCACTTGGGAGGTAGAGACAGGAAGACCAATTTAGGGTCATCCATAGCTACTTACCGAGTTCAAGGCCAGGCTGATACCCACTGGAAGGGGTTAAAGGAGAAAGTGATTGTGGGGTGTGGTACAGGCGAGTGGTGCACTCGTGGTGAGTCCTTCAGGGTGTCCTGATCCTCTGGGGTGTGCAGGTTGTTGCCGACCCCCTGCCCTGGCAACAGTCACTTCCCTGGTTTGTGCTTCACCCGACCCACCTATGGAGCTGCAGCTTTAAAACTTGAGGCCATTTGTTTCTGTTGAGTCTGCAGCTTACCCTGTCACTATCTTTCAACTGTTAGAAACTATCAGTAAACATTTCATACAGCAGTGCCCGTTTGTTTCCACAGGTAAACTGTGAGACGGATTTCGTCTCTAGAAATTTAAAATTTCAGCAGTTGGTCCAGCAAGTTGCCCTGGGAACCATGTCACACTGTCAGAGCCTAAAGGATCAACTTTCCACGTACACTAAAGTGAGTTGAAGGTTGTCTCCAGCTTGCTCTTGTCGCTCCCGACCTTCGGGGTCTGTCTGTCAGGGAATATTATTTGAAGGTGTGTGACTTTTGTTTATGTTGCGTTTGTTTAACTCTGTGAAGCTGTGTTACTGTGCCTGCCTAAAACACCTGATGGGCTGATAAAGAGCAGAACGGCCAATGGCAAGGCAGGACAGAGAGAGGTGGGGCTGGCAGGCACGGGGGGTAAATACATGAGGAGAAATGTGGGAGGAAAGGGTTTCGGGACGAGGAGGACTTCAGCGGCCGGCCACCCAGCCGCTCGGCTACACAGCCAGACAGGGTAAGAGGGAAAGAGAAGGCGTACAGGAATAGAGAGGGGTAAAAGCCCGAGGCCAAAGACAGATGGGATAATTTAAATTAAAGCTGGCAAAGCCAAGGCTTACAAGGCCAGGCATTCCTGACTAAGAGTAAACCTCCGTGTGTGATTTATTTGGGAGCTGGATGATACCCCCCAAAAGAGTCCAAAGAGCCAAGAGTAGACTTCAGGCTACATCTGTCCTTTTTGGGGTGGCTATCTCTTCAATGCGGGTGCTGGGGACCCAACTCTCAAGGAAACCCTCCCAGAAGATTGCCTCAGGGATGCTCACCTCTCACCAGGCTGCACGGCTTTCACGGCAGAGGCTCTGGTCTCTGGTTAATCACAGGCTGATTCTTCAGTCCCAGCTGATCTGGAACCATAGAGTCTTAGGGACTAACAGTCTTCAAAGGAACTCTCAAAAGTAGAAAAGAGAGATAAGAGAACCTTGTTCCTTCTGCTTTAAAGATATTTATATTACATTGTTCTTATTACAGTATACGTGGGTGTGTGGGTCAGGGGTCATGTCAGCAGGACTCAGTTCTGTCCTTCCACAGGGTTGGTTCTGCAGCTCAGGTGGTCGGGTTTGGCCCCTAATGCCTTTAGCCGCAGAGCGGTCTCACTGGCCCCCTCTTATATAAAGTTTATATTTATTTGTTTGTATGCGCATGGGTGCGACCCCCTCTTATATAAAGTTTATATTTATTTGTTTGTATGCGCATGGGTGCCTACAGCGGTCAGAAGATGATGTTAGGTGCTCGGAGCTGGAGTCACAGGTGGTTGTGAGACGCTTGATGTGGGTGCTAGGAATTGAACTCGGGACCTTTGGAAGAGCAGCCCGTGCTCTTAACCACTGAGCCATCTCTCCAGCTCCCCCAAGCCCCATTCTTACCTATTTCTGTAGATCAGCAGGCTCATTGGATCATGGTTTGACTTCTAAGTATTTTTTTGTTACATTTGTTTCCTATGTAGAGATGGTGACATGTTGACCTGTTTTTCCTTTGTTGTCTGTAGTGGAAACAGTTCACAGGGGCTCATAAAGATCTTCCTTTGTTCGAGACAGCATCTTGAGAAGGCTTGCTGTGCATTAGCCACAGGGTGCAGCCTCTGCTAGCCACTACTAGTTTCTCTCTCTTCTTGCTGCCCCTCGAGTGCTGGGATTAAGGCATGTCCCACCATGTTTACTGTTCCTTTGTCTTTTTTTTTTTTTCTAGCTACATAGCATTCTGTTGTGTGGATGTGCCGTGATTATTCAGCCAGCCTCCTGTGCTTGGGCATTTTAGGCTGTTGCCAAAATTCAATGGTTGGAAATAATTGCTCAGTGAATAATCTTGTGTATATGTGCTTCTAAAAAAAAAAATTCATACTTTGAATCTTTGAATGTTCGTCATCAAGCCGGTTTTAGTGCATACATCTGTAATCCCAGCACTTGGGAGGCAGAGGCAGCTTACGCTTGTCTCCTGTACTTAGGGCTTCCTGAACTCCTCTGAGCTTTCCGAGCTCGCAGCTGGGCCCAACAGAGAAGGCTCTCTCAAGGACCACCTGGCCTTAGCGATTGGTGAGTAGCTAAGGGTTCTGGGAAGGGGAGGTGGGGTTTTCCTGGTGTCTTTGGTGCTCCTCCAGATCTCATTGGGTGACTGTGACCTGGGTTCAGGAGTTGGGCAGGTGGTAGGAGCGAGTATGATGGAGATAGGTCATGAACATGTGTGGGATTCTCAGTAGTGAGTAAATAAAAAGAGAATCAGAAGCTCATGCATGTCTAAGGGCAAGAGTATGTGAGACGGGTAAATAGACTCCCCGAACGAAGGCCCAACGGAGGCACCATCCCCAAGCGCTGACTTGTTAGTATACTGAGGGAACTGGAGCTCTGGTACACTCAGAATCCTGAACCACATGAAGGAATTTAGGTTTATAAACTAACCCTCGTGGTTCTTGCAACTAGTTAAAATGATTTCATCGCGGTGTTGACTAAACAAAGGCAGGGGGTCACTTCTGTACATGTTGTAGGGAAAGTACCCTGAAGGTGAAAAGGAAAACTTACGGGATTGGAAGACAGCTCAGCAGTTAAGAGCCCAGGCTGTTCTTCCAGAGGACCCTGGTTTGATTCCCAGCACCAGCTTGGTGCCTAGCAACCATCTCTAACTCCAGTTCTGAGGGATTCTGGCTTCCAAGGGCACTGCATGCGTGTGGTGTTCACAGACATGCAGTCAGAACACCTACACATAAAATAGAAATAAATCTTTTTTTCTAAAGAAAATTTAAGATTGTTTAGGAAATATATTTTGAGCTTATGAAGCATAGCCCATGTCTGTAGAAGCCACTTTGGGGCACCACGCTCTGGTCACTGTGGGGGATTGGGGGGGGTCATGCTCTCTCTTTCCACGTGTCCTGATAGGGGGAGGGAGACAAGCTGGGTTGTAATTGCTGGGAATTTTCCTGTCATCTGCAGCTTCTAGTCGAGGCTTCTGTTTACAAGGTTACCTCGCAGTCTGTCCTGTGAGTCATGGGTGAGCAGCCAGGCCAACAGCTGTGTTAAGAAACCCTGGGAGAAAGGGGGGTTTGGCCTTGTCAGTCTCTGTAGAGTTCCGAGCTGTTTCCATATTGATTTCTGGATTTTCCTCTTTGTGACCTCGGGCTGCATGTGAGACTAACCTTGCGTCTTCACCGGGCTTAGCCTCCGTCCGTTCCTGTTTTTTACTTCGGCTTCTCTTGGAAGGGAAATGGGGTTGGGAGGGGGTGGGAGAGGGAGAAAACTAGACTCTGCTTTTGGTTCTCATGGTTCTGAGAATGTTATCTTGCTGAGCAGAAGTTGAAGCTGTCAGGTTTCTGGAGTTTGGATTTCCTGGATCGTTTGGTTATAGACCTTTCCCAGACACTGTTGGTGATGGGAGTTGTGTGTATCTGTTGTGGTTGAGTTTTTGAGAAGTCATTTGGGGAGAAAATTCACTTACCTGCTGTGGGGTCCACTTTGAGTTGTAATTCCCACTCTGTCACACACGGGTGGGTGTACGACTTCGATCCTCTAAGCCTGGGTTTAGCCTGGTGAGAAGAGCCACGTTCTGAGTGCCTGATGTGCATGAGCCACGTAACACGTTCTCTGCGTGTGTTACCCTTTTTATTTCTCGGAGTTACCGAGAGGGTAACTCTCGAGGGTACCGAGTATCATTACCAGGTGTAGACGAGGGAACTAAGGTGTGGGCAGTTGATAATGCGGAGGTCACAGGGCCAGGAAGAGGCTGGCGGCCTCGCCTTAACTAGAGCGCTCCTGGAGGGACTCTGCCCGTCTCCATCCTCACCATCCTCCTTAATGCAAGCCGAGGCTGTGTCTTTCGTCTCACTGCAGATACAGAAGGGTCGCCGTGCACACGCGGCCTCATCTGCGCCACCACGGTCATCGCCACCCAGTGGTCGTTGTTTCTTGTTTTTGCTCTCTTGTAGGGAAACTGGGAGAGAACATGATTCTTAGGCGAGCTGCCTGGGTGACGGTGCCGGCTGGGTTCTATGTCGGCTCTTACGTGCACGGAGTAACGCAGAGCCCCTCGCTGCAAAACCTGGTGCTGGGGAAGTACGGGGCCCTGGTCGTCTGCCAAAGCTGTGAGCAGAGTGCAAACCTGCAGGACGTGGGCCGCCGCTTGGGGCAGCATGTGGTGGGCATGGCCCCACTGTCTGTCGGCTCCCTGGATGATGAGCCTGGAGGAGACGCTGACACCAGAATGCTGTCCCAGCCATACCTGCTGGACCCTTCCATCACACTGGGACAGTATGTGCAGCCCCAGGGCGTGTCTGTAGTCGATTTCGTGCGCTTTGAATGTGGGGAAATGGAAGAGGAAGAGGTAGCGGAGGCCAAGTAGGTTCTTGGCCCGGGTGAGAATATTTATATGTAGATCTGGATTTCCTCATAAAAAGTTACCTTCTAACCCTCTTCAACCCTCGAATCTGTTTTTTCTTTTTAGTTTATAACGGAATCATATACTCAGGGGTAAAGTCGTTAAACACTTATGTAATAAAGTACAGTTTTTCTTTTTTGGCATAATACTGGACTTAACTATTTTTGAAATTTTGAAAACCACGTAAGTGTGTGAGCCCGCACATACCAGGTGTGTGTGGTAAGCTCCTCACGCAGCAGTTCATCGCCGTGGTCCCTCCTCAGTCAGTCTGTGACGCTGTCCCTTAAGTCTCCTACACTCTGTCCTGTTGTCGAGACGAGGTCTCCGATTCTGCTTCCGTTCTGTGATGCTTTGGACCCCGCGTCTCCCCTGGGGCTTCCCTGCAGGGTTACCCCTCTACTCGGATTTCATATTCTGCTGTGCGCTAGGGTTGTTTGGAAGATGTGGGCCTGTGTGCTGATGACTGCAGCACGCTCTCTGAACTGGTCCACACACTAGCGTGTGCCCCTGACATGGGTGCAGTTAGCTGCGCTGAGGCACGTTTTGACATTCTCTTGCCAGAGCCGCGAAGGACAACGGTTCAGTTCACCACACGGCGCTCTCAAGGCTGCCATTTATTATGTGTTTGCTTGTGATGCTGGAAATTGTGCCCAGCGTTTTACTTTCCCTTTTTCAAAGATTTATTATCTCATGTGTTTGAGTGTCTTGTGTGCGTGTGTCCATATGCACAGTGCATACTCCTGGTGCCTGCTCAAGGTAAAAAAGAAGACAGTGGATCCCCTGGAACTGGAGTTACAGCGTTTGTGAGCCACCGTGTTGGGGCTGGGAACTGGGCCTGGTCCTCTGCAAGAGCAATAAGTGCTCTTAACCCCTGAGCCATCTCTCTGTCCCGCAGTACACTGAGACCAGGTCTTTGTACATCACTGAGCTTGGCCTTGAATTCACCCTGCAGCCCGTGCGGTCCCTGACCTCCCAGTGCCTGCCCCAGCTGGCGTGTGAACCAGGGTCAGCGTTGCCAATGCCATGACAGCTAAAGTCACTCTAAGAAGGGACCCTGGAGACCAGAAAGGACGCCGATGTGCTCATATGGCCTCTTTATTTGAAAACTTGAACATGTTCTGGCACGTGGTAGACCCGGGCATTTGGAATCTGGCCTTCAGAAAGTGTGCGAGGAACTCCAGGACTTGGGGGGGGGGGTTACAGGGCGTGGATTAAAGCAAATGTGGTCCCTGATGCACTAAACAGAATGCTCAGTTTCTGGTTCTCTCTCTCAACCTGTCTGTCCATGCTCTCTGCCAAGGCCACAAAAGCTGAAGAGCAAGTAGTCTAGGGTCAGTTCTAGTGTACTACAGCCAAGGAATGCAAGGGTGAATGAACATGCAAACAGCATGCCAGGATTCTCAGATGTGTGGTCTCTAAAGCAGGTGAATGCCGGGCTCATTTGGTGTATGACTTTTTGGCTGATGTTGGCACTACATGCCTGCTCTCTCCTATGGTCGGGCGACGGGCAGAGATGCCTTGCTTTAGAAAAGTCCCCTCTCTTTCTTCAGCAGGAGCTGTTTCCAGCCAGGCAGAGCAGTAAATTGCCCTCTTGTCATGCCAAATACAGACGCAAAGTCTCGTTCCGAGAGGTAATTCTATGAGAAAACAAATCTGTAGTGAGAAGGAGGGCAGGGCATTTCATGAATGCCAGCGGGTGAAGCAGTGGGCGGGAGGGAGCCCTGGGGCTGGCGGAGGAGCCACATGGCTCCCTGCTTGCCTGGCTTGCAAAGGGTCCTGCCTGGCTTTGAGCCCTAGAGCCACAAACAGTAAACCAGTGGCTCCGGCGGGCCCTGGAAGAGGGGCATCACATGGATGCTCAGGGAGACTGTACCAGACCCCGATTCCTCCTTGGCCGTGGAGTCCCATCAGCCAGTGAGAGAAGCTGACTGAGCTTTCCGCCTAGCCCTGGTTCCTTGCCCCACAGACAGTGTTTTCTATGTTATGGATGGAGTATACACATTGGATTGTGGAGGGATGGAGAACTGAGTAGAGTGCTCTTTGCTTGCTTCAGGCCCTTGACTGCCATTCTTTCTGAGTACTTACTTCTGGTGCTAGGGAGTGATCCAGGAGTGTTCTCTGAGGGCCTGAGAATGCTCTGCCACTGCATTGCACCCCTAAACCCTGAGAATTCTTAAAGGGCCCATGCTGATGAGGTCATTAAGCTACGACCCTTACCCACCTACCCATCCACCCGTCCGTCCATCTGCCTGCCCGCCCGCCTGCCCACCCGCCCGCCTGCCCATCTGTCCGTCCATCCACCCCCCCCCCCCCCCATCCATCCCCCCCCACCCATCCCCCCCCCCCCCCCCCCCCCCCCCCCCCCCCCCCCCCGTCCGTCCGTCCGTCTATCCATCCACCCACCCGTCCGCCCGCCCGCCCGCCTGTCCGTCTGTCCATCCACCCATCCACCCATCCATCCACCCACCCCATCCATCCACCCACCCGTCCGTCCGTCCATCCACCCATCCATCCACCCCATCCACCCACCCATCAGTCTGTCCGTCCATCCATCCACCCACCCACCCACCCGTCCGTCCGTCTGTCCATATCATTTTCTGTCTGAAGCAGCATCTCACCATAGCCCAGGCTGTCAAGAACTCACTATGTAGGGCATGTTGGCTTGGAACCCATGGCGACTCCCCTGCCTCAGTCCCCCTAGTACTGGGATTACAGTCATGAGCTAAGCGCAATTGACCCATGGCCTCAGCTTCTAAGAACACTAGTCTAGGTGCTTAAGGCTTGGTCTTAACATTTTAAGATGTTACAGAGAATCCAGTTCATTCATTAATCTGTCCATTCAACATGAATGTATTAATTCGTTTAACTAAAACCTAAGAGTCTGTGCTAACAGGAAGGAATGGTTAGGAACAGAGTAGGCAGTCAAGAAAGGCCAACGGGAGCTGAACCCTAAATACAGGGGCAGAGGGTATGGGAGACCCCAGGGGGCGGGCAGACCGTGGAGGGCTTCGGGGAGCCATTTGAAGGGTGTTAAAGCTTGTGTTATATTATATAGTGTGTATATGTGAGAGGCAGGGGACAGTGTGGGACTCAGTTGCCTCCTGGCACTATGTGGGTCCTGGGTGCTGACTTAGCTTGTTAAGTTTGATGGCAAATGCCTTTACGTTTTGAGCGGCCTCACCAGCCCATGAGGTTTTTTTAAATAGAGCGGCTTCATCTGCTCCTGAACGATCCCTGGCTGTTAATGCGATTATGCCAGGGAGGATTTGGGGAATGGTGGGTTAGTTACAGAAGTGTACGGTGGCTGGACTGGACTAACAGCAGAGAGGCCACCGGGTGGACTCCTTTGGGAGTAGGAGACATTCAAGGAAGAGCCTTCAATCGACTCAGTAGCACAGCTGCCCCTTGGGTGCCTGCGGTGTGCCCAAACTGTTGTAAGCCATTTCTTGAGCTTGGTGCTTTAGCCTGTGGGGATTCCCAGCTCACATACCTCCTTTTTGGCAGGGTTCACACCCTCAGGCAGCTCCTGGTTGTGACTTTTCAGTAGAACTTCTATAGGGTAATACTTTGGCTCACTTTCGTTAGAATTCAGGGAGAGGGTTGCGTTCTTCATGTCCTAAGTAAGAGAAGAAAGAGACGTGAGCAAAGACTGATGATGTCGTACATGACCTCCGCGTGTATAAAGTTTACACTTTGGCGTCCGCTGCTTTCCGGAACGGTGATCCAAACCTGGGTGCAGGTCAGAACGACCTTGGAAAGCCAATTCAGCAGGCCTGATGTGAGAGTTTAGAGCCAGGCTGGCACACACTGCGCTTAGGTCTCTCCTGTATTTATTTACTCATGTAGTGCTGGGAATTGAACCCAAAGCCTCCTGCGTGCCAGGCTCTGCCACTGAGCAGCACCTCCAGCCACGAGTCTTTTCTGAACACTCTGATCACACCACCCCCCCTCTCTTGGCATCTCTATTTAGGGCCTGTGTTTCCAGTTGTCAAATGCCTTGAGACAGAAGCCATGCTTGAGTGCAGTTTGAAGACACTAACTGCACCCAATTAGCTTTGGGGTCTGGCTTTGCAGAGCACAAAGGACAACATGCTAACGTTGGACACCCCATGCCACGCATCTCATCGTGGCGTTCGAGGGCTGCTGGCTGCAAGCTCCATTTCTTTTGGCTGTTAAAATAGGGGCCAAGAGCCCAAGCTGCTGTGGATTTCACTGTTGGAGACTAACAAAGTGTCATTTGGATTAGAAGTCTGCCTCTGAGCAATGCTGCCGATAACTAACTTAGTCTCTCCTGAGAGGCAGAAAAAGCTGAATAATAAAGGTAGCTTTTATTCTTCTTTCTGATTTGCTCCGGCTTTTGAGGCTGAGTCTCATGTATCCCAGGCTGGCCCTCCACTCAGTATGTAGCCACGGGTGATCCTAAACTACTTATTTTGAACATTATGTGTGTGGGGAGTGTGTATGCACACGAGTACAGATGCTTTTGGGGTGCAGGGAAATACATAGTTTTGGAGCGTAGTTAACGTTTCTGTGAGCCACCCAATACAGGTGTATCCGCACATGCTCTATCTGCGCCAGCTCTCTACCGCCCCCCCCCCATGTTCAGGAAGGCAGTAAGTCAGGAACTTGGCTCTGAGGCCTACTCCCCCCCTTTCAACCCCCCCCCCCCCGACTTTTTCATTTTGAGATGGAGGCCTTGCTATGTGGACTAGGTTGGCCAAGAACTCAGGATTCTCCCAAGTTTGCGTCTTAGGTCCCTGAAACTTGCTTTTCTGGTGATTTAAGTAAAATACCTCCAAGCGTTAGAGCGCGTCAGTAGTTTGCACTTCAGGAGAAAAAGGACAGCACCCTATGCACCCAGGTAGACAACTGAGGGAGGGCCTAGAGGCACGGAGGAGGGTTTGCCCATGTTGCCATGCTCTCTCCGTGGTCCTGGGGACCCCTGTCTAAGGGTAAACCCACTCACAGCGGTGATTCGCACAATGGCGGCGGCGTCTCCCAGCTCCTCCTTTAACTGCTCGTATGATTTTCCTGCCTGTGAAGG